TATTCCAGATCGTAATAGTAGTCCATTAAAGTAAATCATACTAAACAATTATGTTTACTTCAATACTAGAAGGCGTTGAACGAAAACGTCAAAGGTCAACCTTTCCGTCTGGGCTTGACAACCAATATATTTACCGTTATTCGCAGAAGCAGCTAGTACCGTTTGCCCGGTCCTGTATTGGGTTTGGCAAAGCAAGGTACACACTCCAAGACCTCCCTTATTTCCACGTGTAAAAGGAACGGTGTAAGACCCCCGTGATTCCAAACGTAAGAGGAACAGTTTATTAATACAGAGCTATCGTGTGTGTAGTTAATTAGCGTAACAACATCGCTTATTTACAGACAGTTATGCACGCAAGCTACTCTTCCACGCTCCCAGGCTGCTGGATCCCAGAACCTATCAAGCCGATTACATTTCAATCCTGGCTCGATTAGACTAAATAAAAGGACTGGGAAACAATGCGCGTGTTAGCATTGGAAGTTTATATCCACAGTAGCTAAAGGTGTACGGTGTCGACAGACAGCGCAAGGTGGGGGATCTCGCTGTCTGTTCGTGCGCAGGCGCGTCTACCAGGAACAGTGGGAATCTACAAAAGACGAAATGGTGAGCCGGAGGCGGGATGCGGAATCTTGTGATCAAAGGAAAGTACAAAGGGGCCGCTCGACTCTTGATTGCTTGTTTATACGTGTTGCACGTGAGATAGAATTATTCCGCATTAAGTTTTCTTTCTCTTCGCTCCCGGACAAATGTTTGTTAGATTTGACAAGTGGCGTGTACTGAGACGAGAGTGTGAATCATTTCATTTTTTTCTTTGTTATTCATAATAAACAAATGTTGTAGTCTGTAGAGTGATTTTTTAGGGATTTTGGCGTTTTTGTCATTGATTTTGAGTCTAAAGAGTCGTCATCGACATCATCATCATCATCGTCATCATCATCATCATCATTCCTGTTCACTCCTCCGCCGCTTCATCACTCATCAAAACTATTGCCTAATTAGAGTCGGTAAGTCCGAGTGGCTCCTTAGATGCCGTCGCTTGTTGTGCAGAATAGCGCCCCTTAGTCGTGTAAGGATCCGCTGGTCGTGAATCATAGTCAGTATTATACTCTTTCGCGTTAGTGATAAACGGGTAGAACCTGCTTCAGTTACAGCTCTCCCTTTGCATTATTACCACACTCGTCGTATAAAAGAAAATTGAAAGATTCGTAAAATCCGTGTCGCTCAACCAGCAGCGAAGGTGTGGCGAATGACAGCACTCACCTTATTAAACCCGGGTTAGGATTGGCCTTCAGCATGTCACATGTCATCGTAACCCTCGAATATCAGTATGCCATGCATGTGAGAGGCGACTAACAGGATCGGGTGGTTCACACATGTCATCGTATCCCAGTTGCGTACAACGATGCTCATGCTGTTGATCACTTGATTTTCTGGTATAGACTCGATTACAAACCGCCGCCATATAGCTGGAAAATTGCTGAGTGCGGCGTAAAACTAAACTCGCTCACATGTCATCGTAATGCTGCTGCTTCAATCGATGCTCATACTATAAATCACTAGATTGTCTGGTCCGGACTCCGTTATCACAGACCTCCCATACTGCTGAGTGCGGCGTAAAACAAAACTCACCCAAATCGGCAACAGACCTTCACCTTTGAGGAAGCTGAACTTTGACATGTGTGTTTTGCGGTGTTAAATTAAGCGTTAATATTTCAGTCCTCATAATGTATATCGGACATGTTTGAATATCAATGGTGACAGCAGTTTGCTACGGTTTTGTTAAGATTTCCAATTGCTGACTACATATATAGGTGAACTACAGTGTTGGGTGACTCCATTACCATTATGAACTACTAGTACTCTGTACTACTAAACCATGCCTCACTACTTAGAATCGCCCTTCAGTACTTAAAACACCACTCTTGACTACTTTAAACGCCTCTCTGGACCACTTAAAATCCCCTTTTCACTACTTAGAATTCCGATTCATTACTTCAAACATTTATGACTGTTCCGGTTTCGTTTTGACCCGTTTAGGTTAGAGGTGGGTGGTCACTATTGCATGATTGTACTGGACGCTTCAACTGTCACCCAGACGCCAATCAGTTACTACTCAGATAGCACTGGACGTCGGTCAGTGACCACCCACTATCACTGGTCACCTTGGCAACACTGGACTTCAGCCAGTGACCGCCCACTATTATTGATCATCTTGAACATCTCGACAACACTGTGATCGCCCACTATCATTGATCATCTTGACAACACTGGACTTCAGCAAGTGATCGCCCACTATTATTGATCATCTTGACAACACTGGACTTCAGCCAGTGACCGCCCACTATCATTGATCATCTTGACAACACTGGACTTCAGCCAGTGACCGCCCACTATCATTGGTCACCTTTACAACACTGGACTTCAGCCAGTGACCGCCCACTATCATTGGTCACCTTTACAATACTGGACTCCAGCCAGTGATCGCCCACTATCATTGATCATCTTGACAACACTGGACTTCAGCAAGTGATCGCCCACTATCATTGATCATCTTGACAACACTGGACTTCAGCCAGTGACCGCCCACTATCATTGGTCACCTTTACAACACTGGACTTCAGCCAGTGACCGCCCACTATTATTGGTCACCTTGACAACACTGGACTTCAGCCAGTGACCACCCACTATCACTGGTCACCTTGGCAACACTGGACTTCAGCCAGTGACCGCCCACTATTATTGATCATCTTGACAACACTGGAATTCAGCCAGTGACCGCCCACTATCACTGGTCACCTTTACAACACTGGACTTCAGCCAGTGACCGCCCACTATTATTGGTCACCTTGACAACACTGGACTTCAGCCAGTGACCACCCACTATCACTGGTCACCTTGGCAACACTGGACTTCAGCCAGTGACCGCCCACTATTATTGATCATCTTGACAACACTGGACTTCAGCCAGTGACCGCCCACTATCATTGATCATCTTGACAACACAGGACTTCAGCCAGTGACCGCCCACTATCATTGATCATCTTGACAACACTGGACTTCATCATCTTGACAACACTGGAATTCAGCCAGTGACCGCCCACTATCATTGATCATCTTGACAACACTGGACTTCAGCCAGTGACCGCCCACTATCATTGGTCACCTTTACAATACTGGACGTCGGTCAGTGACCGCCCACTATTATTGGTCACCTTAACAATACTGGACGTCGGTCAGTGACCGCCCACTATTATTGGTTACCTTGACAGCACTGGACATCCGCCAGATAGCACAGGACGCCGATCAGACGCCACTCAGCCTCACAGGTCAATTTGACAACTGTGGCCAAGCACACTCCCTGGTTACTTTGACAACACTAGACGCCGATCAGTGCCCACGACCAGTGAACTAAACTTGGCTTCAACCAACATCGGCGTACATTTAGGTTTTGAACTAATCTTGGCTTAAAGCAAAATTGAGGTTTTCAACTAAACTTTGGTTTAAATAACATTGAGGTTTTGAATTGAGGGTGTGACCTATCGTGTCTAGAAACATTGAACAAATGTGTGTCGAAAAATATGAGGTTAGAACATCGGTCCATCAATACGGAGGTTGAGAACTGAACATAGGTCCGATAACATTTGTGTTTGTTTGTTGTTTAACGTCACACAGCAGTATTCCAGGTCCATGACTGCAGTCTGAGATTAATCAATGTGGACCAGACAGTCGGGTGATTCACTCCATGAGCATCGATCACAACATGATTTACGAACAAGACAAAAACATTGAGGTCACTTGGAGCATTACAACAATGGGGATTTGGGAGCATTACAATATTGAGATCACTTGGAGCATTACAGCATTGAGGTCATTTGGAGCATTACAAATGAGATCACTTGGGGCATTACAATATTGAGGCCTCTTGGAGTATTACAGCATTGAGGTCACTTGGAACATTATAACAATGAGGTCACTTGAAGCATTACAACACTGATTGTGTCAATAACTAGCTAGTCCATGACTAGCCATGTATCAACTACTAACACACTATCTATCGTAAATCACCCTACCAGAAGCACCCTAGTCTCACAAGACGCCTTTATTTCCGTCTATTCCACAACAAATAAAATAAATCATCGTCTTAGTCATGATACAAAAAAAAACAATTTTGTCTCGACATTTTTTGGCAAACTGTAACCTTCATGTTACACCTTGAAATTATTTTCCAACCTGCACCCTACACTTGGCTTGGCACGGCACCGTGGACGACGAGATCAAAGGAAGCGCGCCGCCTCCGTCTATCCGAAGACAGAGGGGGAACGAAGTGGCTGATAAAAAGAGAGAACTTTGATGTCGAACACAGCACTTAATGTCGATTGTCTTCGGGCATGCTATATCGTTCTCAGTCAGGTGGCTTCGTAATTAAACTGTTTATAATGAGAATTTTCTGTTGGAGTGCTGGTCGTCATATTGAAGAAACGTGGTAACTCGAAGGCTGTTTAATTTTGATTTCTTGGTGGAAACACCAGGCTTGTGTGGAGGCTGGATGGACCATCTTCAAAGCGATGCCAAAGGCATACATCCTCGCTTGTCAAAACACTGCTCCCATTAACATAAACTACACACGCCAAATAATAACTTAAAAGACCTCTGGTGCACCAGCGTTTTGAAGCAGCAGGCGGGTTCACGATGTGTGTAGTTACCGTTATTTGATTTGTTTACTTCCATTGAACTTCTTGGTAAAAAGAAACTGAAAAAATAACTCTAGACATATGAGGCGAAGAATGTGAGTTTTGCTGGAAACCTTTGAAGCGCCCCTGGCGGTGAACCAACGACCAACAGGTGTCGCTGCTCTTTGACTCTCAGCGCCACCTGGCGGGTCTCAACGTATGCTTATAGCCATTAGTACCTGGTTTGAAATTACACAATCACGCCATATAAATTGGATAATAAATGGGTTTATAATCATCACATTAATAACAAGTGGTGTTCTGTTCCAGGTATTACATCCGGAAGTCACATGGAAGCTCAAAGTGGATCGTATTTTTAGAAGGTGAGTTGTTTGCGACGGAGGCAAATTAAGACAGCGCACTTTTCTGGAGAATGTTATTTTGGACTAAATAACCTTGTTTCATACATATATACATGTATACAGTGCATGTTTATATAGACAGAAACATCAAAGTAACTCTGATGTTGAAACAGGTCATTATATGCATCTAAAATGCGTCTAAAATTAAAAACAAAAACAATTAATTTGTTTTTCTCTCTTATCAATTACGTGCGGACCATGCAAGCATTTATGGACATATTGTTATTTACAGACATATGATTTAGGGGATTGGGTGACCAGGCTCGCTGACTTGGTTGACACATGTCAGCTTGTCCAAATTGCGTAGATTGGTGCTCATTCTGTTGATCACTGGATTGTCTGGTCCAGACTCGACCCACCGACCAGGAAGAGACATATTCAACCATACCCCTTTCTAGACCTGTATCGGCCCCAAACATGGTGGGAAAAACGTATCCAAATATATCTGCCATGCCGAAGATTTAGTTACACAGACAACGAAACATGCCATATTGTAAAATCTAAAGTACAATTACAATATTTGACTAAGAGAGTATTTGTTGTGTTCTGTCATGGAGACATTAAAATACATAAGTGTGAGTATGCTTGTGCGTATGTGCGTTTGCATGTGCATTTGTTGAGTGGGTGTACTGCAGTACTCAGATCGCTTCTTAGATATTTGGGGGCGGTGGGGTAGCCTAGTGGTTAAGGCGCTCGCTCTTCACGCCGAAGACCCGGGTTCGATTCCCCACATGGACACCATGTGAAGCCCATTTCTTGTGTCCCCCGCCGTGATAATATTGCTGAATTATTGCTAAAAACGGCGTAAAACTTAACTCACTCACCCAATCTCAGGTATTTGGCCTTAAACGTTATATAATCTTTTACGTTCAAGTGAGTCTTTTATTTGTTTTAGGCCGCTTTTAACAGTATGTGAGTTATATCACGGTGTGCCAGTGTGACATGATGGGTGAGTGAGTTTAGTTTTACGCCGCTTTTAGCAATATTCCAGCAATATCACGGCGAGGGACACCAGAAATGGGGTTCACACATTGTGCCCATGTGGGGAATCGAACCCGGGTCTTCGGCGTGACGAGCGAACGCTTTAACCACTAGGCTACCCCACCGTCCCTCCAGTGTGACATGGGAGGGAAGCTTGAAGTGGTGCAGGTCTCGCCTCACTTGTGAAGACCACGAGGGTAGATGGTGCTTATTTGCATAGAAACATGATCAGGAAGAATCTGAGTCGAGTCAAAAAATCATTTACAACATATACAGGAAATTAAGACGCCATTTAAATGTAGAGTGATCTACGGTTATAACGAACTAAAATTAGTGGTGACTTCGAGTTCGGTATAATCGTAATTTTCTGTACACAGAACAAAAACAGGTATCGTGATTTAAAAAAACATTTTGCATTTGTATGAATCTACTCGATCTTCAGTATAAAACCTATGTCCACTGGTATTGCGTGATCCCTAACTTACTTAGCTCAGTATAGAACATGGATATGACAGCAGGGTGACTCTGGAATATCAACCTACGAAGGGAGGTGATCTCACAAATAAACATACATGCACTTCTTTAATATTCATATCTACAGTGCATTGTTATGCAACTAGGTGCTGTAGGCGTACTCACTCGACAAGAGTGACTAGTCGTATTTACAGCAGACCTGCATACTGTATTTTGTCGCTATTTGAGGTGAGAAAAAAGATCTAAGGCAAAGTGCGATCTTCTTATTAACTTAGTGTAGGAGCAGCGGCTTATCCAGCTCATGATACTTCTTTTGATGTCCGTGGTCTCTACAAAGGAGCACCCACTATCAATTAGCCAAGATTAGTGGATTAATAAACAGCTTTTGTAACACGAAGGTAACTTTGAAGCTATCACGAATATTGAATTTGACAGTTAGTTCTCCGAGCAACACGTGTAGCGCCCGACAGCTCCCGAGTCGGCGCCTTTTGATGTCAGGGATAATCTACAGCTTCTATTCTTCTCCCTGTTGATGTGGATTATCCTGAATGGCCGTCTACTGGAAACGAGTATGTTCAAAGAATGTCTTTATTCCGCCAGGTGGATGGTACTGCCTTGACAGGACGAGCTGTGCCGAGAGATACACAGTCATGCGAGACTTCATGAGCTCCAGAAATTGGCCTCGACATCGGAAAGGTTAGTTGACGTTGACATTGTAGGTCATATTCAAAGATCGTCAGTCTCCGGCGGCTCGTGTTCAAGATCGCCAATCTCCGGCAGCGCGTGTTCAAGATCGTCAATCTCCGGGAGTAACTTGTTTGAGTGGCATTTAGAAGTTGGTGTGATGAACAACGAGGAGAGTTATGGATATACAACTTCTTTAATATGATATGAGCGACGTTTTGGTGTAGCTACAAACAGCTCGTGTTAAGATCGTCGATATGACGTTGGGTTTATTCATAACGGGTATCATTCCAAGACAAATCTGAAGCTTCAAGTAAAGGTCGTGTTAAAGATTCCGAGATTTGACACAACCGAAATATGATAAGTTAAGAAGGAATATGCAGGGATCAAGATTTTACTTCGAGAGAACTGTTTGACTCATATTAATGCTGTTATATTAATTGCTTCTCGTGGAGATTTAGGAACCTGTGAAGATACGGGTTAGAATTGGTCTTTAGTAACCCTTGATTGTGGTAAGAGGCGACTAACGGGATCGAGTGGTCAGGCTCGTTGACATGGTTGACATATGTCATCGTATCCCAGTTGCGTAGATCGATGCTCATGCTGTTGATCACTGGATTGTCTGGTCCAGACTCGATTATTTACAGACCGCCGCCATATAGCTGGAATATTGCTGAGTGCGGCGTAAAACAACAACAGCAGAAAGAGTTCAGAACTGGTCCAAGAAACCATTGCGTGTCGAAAGAGGTGACAATACAGATCGGGTTGTCAGACTGGCTGATGGCGTGTCAGCGTCCCCAGAAAGCGAGACAACGTTCGAAATTAATTAATATGACGTCGGTCCTTAGCCCGAAGCCAACTGGAACCACTCGGACCCACAATTTTTGTTTTCTGCAGGTCCTTATGGCCGACAGCTTATTCATTCCCAGTAACTAAGAGTATTATTTCCAAATTAAAATATAGGGCCTACAAATTCTGATCTGGACCCACAACTTTTTATGGTCCTTAGGGCCTGCAGCTTTTCAGGGTTAAGGGCAAACACTGCAGCGAGGATAGTTGCTCAAAGTAACGCCAATGGATGGTCTGGTCCATACTCGCGAATCTTCAGACCTCCGTCTCACAGCTGAGATATATCTCAGTTGTGGCGTTTAACAAAGAACTCACAGTCGTAATGGCTTTAGTAGCTTCCATAGGCCACCCGACAAAATCACCCCGCCCGGCAACTTCACTCCACCCGGCAACCTCATTCCCCCGGCCACCTTACTCTACCCGAAACACTACTCCACTAGGCCACCTTACCCACCCGTTAATCTTATAACACCCGACTACAGTGACTGGGTACACTATTTGATCCAGTCGTTACAGTGTCTGATTTGGCTGCTTGTGTGACATCAGACCCGGACTGGGGGCGGTGTGGCCCAGTGGGTAAAGCGTTCGCTGTTCAGCCCGAACCCCTAGGTTCGATTCCCCCATGAGTACAACGTGTGAAGCCCATTTCTGGTGTCCGTACCTGTGAAATTGGCACATTGCAAAACGCAGTGTAAATCTTCATTCACTCTTACCTTGACGTCATGGTAGTGCGCTGTTGCTGTCAGTTTGTCTGTCCTGACTGGGGGAGGTGGGTAGCCTAGTGGTTAAAGCGGTCAATCGTCACGCCGAAGACCCGGGTTCGATTCCCCACATGGGTACAATGTGTGAAGACCATTTCTGGTGTCCCCCGCCGTGATTTTATCTTGAATATTGCTAAAAACGGCATAAAACCATACTCACTCACTCACTCACTCTGTCCTGACTGGACTATGTACAGGGGTCACCGTGATATAGCTGTGGTGTTTTACCCTGCGGCGTTAAACAATATTCACTTTGGTGAATGGTTACGGTGACTGGACTCCGACGAACGTTCAATGAAAACCGTCAGTTATGATCATGTGATTATTAAACACAAGATGAACCCAGCCCTTCCCCACTTTTAAATTAAAAAAAACAAAAAAAATAAAAATATATTTTTACAATCAGTTGAAGGAAAAATTTCATTAATACTTAAAACAAGTAATCATGCTTTAAGCGAAAGTCTGTAAAGAAGGTTCGGATTGCTAACAGCGGGCTAAAGCGCATGCCCTCTCTGAAGTTTTCGCTTTGATGATCTTGGCTGTTTACTTCATACTCCCGACTGTTATGACAGACCCGACCGTAACTCTTTTCTTTCCCCAAATAAAAGAGGTCAAGTTGTACATGGCAAGCTTCTTCCCATCATATCAGACTTATATCAGCCGACACTTTATGAATTCAAAGCCCACGGAACATGTTTGATACATCCCCACCGACCTTTATCTCGGTATCTTCCGCCACACGGACCGAGATTTCAGAGGTCAGTTTGGGTAGCTCTGATGTGCTGTGCGGAGTGTGTAATACCCGTCCAGACGTTGTTATGTTGTCAGCAGGCGACTCCGGTTTAAAGGAAGAACCGGCAGTAAATATAGGGTCGTATTTATTGACAGGAGAGTCTTGTTTACAAACAGGCACATCACTGGCACTCAAGGAGCTTCTTCAAATCCAAATATACTGTAATCTGAGAGTTACCTGCCCTTTGGAACGTCTGAAATTGAATTTTCAAATAAGCCTGTTAATAAATTAATAAGTTAATAAGCTTGTTGTAATAGACAATAATGAATAGTTTATTCAACTCCACTTTGAACTGGTAGGTTGATGAAACCTATCAGTCACTGGTCTGTCTGCTCCAAGAAGCTAAAGTCAGACTGAATAAGATAAGATAATATATAAGATAATTCTTTATTGTCCCAAGGGAAATTTCTTTTGCATCATACGTTCTCCAGTTTTTCTTTCATAAAGCAGCCATACATAACATTGCAATTGGTAATCATGAAATAATCAGGATATAAATACATCAATTTAGTACACAAACATAGATATTGAATAGAATTTGGACAATTAAAAGACAAGTCATTCACTGAATTTGTCTAATGCATCTAATACTAGCTGGAACAAATGAGTGGCGAACCCTGTTTGTTCTAAAAGTCGGCATACGCAGCCTGCGTCCAGAAGGTAATGATGAATATTCCGAAAAGAGTATGTGAGTAGGATCGCTTAAAATTTTGTATGCCTTTTTATAAATTTGCTGCTCATAACAACTGCCTATACTTTCGATAGGAAGCCCAATAATTTTAGACGCAGTGTTTACGATTTTTGAGAGTTTGTTTTATTCTGGACAGATAGGGTTTCCGAACCAACTCAAGAAATTAAAGTTTATGACACTTTGAATAAAGGTTTTGTAAAATAACATCATGATAGTTTGGTGGATTTTAAAATGTTTCAGCTTCCACAAAAAATGCAAGCGTTGTTGTCCTGTTTTATATATTTTCTCAGTGTTTTCGTTCCAGGAGAGTTTCGAATCTAAGACAGTACCCAAATATTTGTATTCAGTTACTCTTTCGACTTCATTATCTTCAATATTTACAGCATTTAATGTTGACTTAGCTTTTCTAAAATCTATGATCATTTCTTTGGTTTTTTTGCACATTCCAAAATAAAAAGGTTGATTTACACCATTCTACGAATTTTGAAATTTCAGCTCTGTAACTAAGTTCTGATTCCCCAATAAGGCCTACCAATGCAGCATCATCCGCGAATTTGACTGTAAAACATGTTTCTGTGTTGGATACATAGTCATTGGTGTACAATATAAACAAAATTGGTGAAATAACGCAACCTTGTGGAGCGCCAGTTGATGTGTTTACAATTGATGATTTCACATTATTAACCTGTACAAATTGTTGTCTGTTAACTAGAAATGAATTAATCCATTTGATGATGTTAGAATAAACATTCATTTTGAAAGATTTATCAATTAACAAAATTAACAAATACGGTGTAACATTCACTCACATGTTCTTACAACAATGTCGTGCTGTTGTTGCTTACGATATTTATTGCTGTTTCAGCGTCAGGAATCTTGTCATGGGACCCGGAAGAAAATCCATTTTACTTTCACGCAAACATGGTGTAAGTATTGATATATACTCATGCCAATAATTGTTGTCACCCCTGTCAATTTGTTTATTGGAGAGGGTGTGTGGGGTTGGGGTGGGGAGGGGGGTGACAACCATTATTGGCATGAGTATAAATGGATTCAGAGAATTGGCGATTTAATCGCAGAAATATAGGTGTCGCAGATGCATCTTGGACGATAACGGGTCCTCAGGAATCTAACAATAATGACCCCTCAAAACGTCATGTCAACAAACAAAATCCGAATCTCTCATGAGATGACAGTAAATATAAATCAGCTTCGAGAACACTGGTCGCACTTTCACGGCAACCGGGGCGATGGGGTAGCCTAATGGTTAAAGCGTCCGCTCGTCACGCCGAAGACCCGGGTTCAAATCTCCACATGGGTACAATGTGCAAAGCCCACCGGTGATATTACTGGAATATTGCTAAAGCGGCATAAAACCATACTCACTCACTGCAATCGTGTATGTTCTGTTTCAGGATTGTGCCGTATTGTTCTAGCGACTCCTGGAGTGGGGCCAGAAACTCGTCATCAAGAGGTAATTATATGTATTTATATATGTCCAAATTCTCTTTAATCTCGAGGTTGGATTCACGTGGATACTAAAGCTTGGGATTTGTTTCATAGGTGACTTTGCCTTCATGGGTTCCCTGATCCTGGAGGAGGTTGTGAAGGAGCTGCTCAAGAAGGGGCTGAGGAACGCCAAGAAGATGCTGGTGATGGGGAGCAGGTCAGTACAATACTAGGGACAGGTCAGTACAATACTGGTGAACAGGTCTGTACAATACTGGTGAACAGGTCAGTACAATACTGGTGAACAGGTCTGTACAATACTGGGGAGAGGTCAGTACAATACTGGTGATCAGGTCTGTACAATACTAGGGACAGGTCTGTACAATACTGGTGAACAGGTCTGTACAATACTGGTGAACAGGTCAGTACAATACTGGAGAACAGGTCTGTACAATACTGGTGAACAGGTCTGTACAATACTGGGGAGAGGTCAGTACAATACTGGTGATCAGGTCTGTACAATACTGGGGAGAGGTCAGTACAATACTGGTGATCAGGTCTGTACAATACTGGGGAGAGGTCAGTACAATACTAGGGGCAGGTCTGTACAATACTGGTGATCAGGTCTGTACAATACTGGGGAGAGGTCAGTACAATACTGGTGATCAGGTCAGTACAATACTAGGGACAGGTATGTACAATACTGGTAAACAGGTCAGTACAATACTGGTGAACAGGTCAGTACAATACTAGGGACAGGTCAGTACAATACTGGTGAACAGGTCTATACAATACTGGTAAATAGGTCTGTACAATACTGGTGAACAGGTCTGTACAATACTGGTGAACAGGTCTGTACAATACTGGTGAACAGGTCTGTACAATACTGGTGAACAGGTCTGTACAATACTGGGGAGAGGTCAGTACAATACTGGGGAGAGGTCTGTACAATACTGGTGAACAGGTCTGTACAATACTGGTGAACAGGTCTGTACAATACTGGGGAGAGGTCAGTACAATACTGGTGAACAGGTCAGTACAATACTGGTGAACAGGTCTGTACAATACTGGTGAACAGGTCTGTACAATACTGTGGAGAGGTCAGTACAATACCGGGGAGAGGTCAGTACAATACTGGTGATCAGGTCTGTACAATACTGGTGAACAGGTCTGTACAATACTGGGGAGAGATCGGTACAATACTGGTGAACAGGTCAGCACAATACTGGTGAACAGGTCTGTGCAATACTGGGGAGAGGTCGGTACAATACTGGTGAGAGGTCAGGACAATAATGGGAAGAGGTCAGTACAATAATGGGAAGCAGGTCAGTACAATAATGGGAAGCAGGTCGGTACAATACTGGTGAACAGGTCTGTACAATACTGGGGAGAGGTCGGTACAATAATGGGGAGCAGGTCAGTACGATACTGGTGAACAGGTCTGTACAATACTGGGGACAGGTCAGTACAATACTGGGGAGAGGTCAGGACAATACTGGGAAGAGGTCAGTACAATATTGGGAAGAGATCAGTACAATAATGGGGTGAGGTCAGTACAATACTGGTGAGAGGTCAGTACAATAATGGGGACAGGTCAGTACAATACTGGGAAGAGGTCAGGACAATACTGGGAAGAGGTCAGTACAATATTGGGAAGAGGCCAGTACAATAATGGGGAGCAGGTCAGTACAATAATACAATGGGGTGAAGTCAGTACAATACTGGTGAACAGGTCTGTACAATACTGGTGAACAGGTCTGTACAATACTGGTGAACAGGTCAGTACAATACTGGTGAGAGGTCAGTACAATAATGGGAAGAGGCTAGTACAATAATGGGGAGCAGGTCAGTACAATAATACAATGGGGTGAAGTCAGTACAATACTGGTGAACAGGTCTGTACAATACTGGTGAACAGGTCTGTACAATACTGGTGAACAGGTCTGTACAATACTGGTGAGAGGTCAGTACAATACTGGGAAGAGGTCAGTACAATACTGGGAAGAGGTCAGGACAATAATGGGAAGAGGCTAGTACAATAATGGGGAGCAGGTCAGTACAATAATACAATGGGGTGAAGTCAGTACAATACTGGTGAACAGGTCTGTACAATACTGGTGAACAGGTCTGTACAATACTGGTGAACAGGTCTGTACAATACTGGTGAACAGGTCTGTACAATACTGGTGAACAGGTCTGTACAATACTGGTGAACAGGTCTGTACAATACTGGGGAAGAGGTCAGTACAATACTGGGAAGAGGTCAGGACAATAATGGGAAGAGGCTAGTACAATAATGGGGTGAGGTCAGTACAATACTGGTGAGAGGTCAGGACAATAATGGGAAGAGGCTAGTACAATAATGGGGAGCAGGTCAGTACAATAATACAATGGGGTGAAGTCAGTACAATACTGGTGAACAGGTCTGTACAATACTGGTGAACAGGTCTGTACAATACTGGTGAACAGGTCTGTACAATACTGGTGAGAGGTCAGTACAATACTGGGAAGAGGTCAGTACAATACTGGGAAGAGGTCAGGACAATAATGGGAAGAGGCTAGTACAATAATGGGGAGCAGGTCAGTACAATAATACGATGGGGTGAAGTCAGTACAATACTGGTGAACAGGTCTGTACAATACTGGTGAACAGGTCTGTACAATACTGGTGAGAGGTCAGTACAATACTGGGAAGAGGTCAGTACAATACTGGGAAGAGGTCAGTACAATACTAGGGAGCAGGTCAGTCAGTAAAATACCTGGAAGAGGTCATCTATACATCAAGGGGACAAGTCAGTCAGTACAATACAAGGGACAACCAGTACAAAACTATATGGAGAAGGCAGTGAGATGAGGTAGGGGCAGGTCAATATGAGCCACCACTCCGAAATATGAACGCAAGGTAACTAGATGACAATATTTAACCATGTTTATTGTGTCTCATGTGCCAAATCGACCGCTGCCATGAGGCATTAGCGTAAAACAACATTTAGTTCCCCACTCATAAACCTGGATCTCCCGACAGCGCTGGGGGCACAGGTGTCTTGCTTAACCTGGATCGAATGGCGAAGGTGGTGAAGGACCGCGCCCCAGGGGTGGAGGTGAGGGGAGTCGCGGACGCAGGGTGGTTCCTGGACAACGAACCCTACAAGGAGAGGCACTGCCGGGACGCCTACACCTGCTCCCCAACAGATGGCATCAAGAAAGGAATCGAGTAAGTCTGGTAAAGGGACAAAGGGAGATAACTCGTAGTTAAACACCTATAATAAGATATATTTGGCTTAAATATTTCAGTATATTTCCTGTCAAATTAACATGCCACAAGTTCAGTCATCGTATATTTTCAAAAGATATTTCCCGATTCTGGGTCAGACTTTCAATCTTCTTGGCAATCTCATTTGAAAGGGAACTGTCAGAACTCGTATTCATAAGTTGTCTCCCTTGTGTTATTCATGATTCGCAAACATCCATCAAAATTCTTTGTTATGGTTTATCCCGAGATATATGTTTAAACCTCGGTACACAAATGCCATACCTTCTTCCAGGTTGTCGCCAGTGCAAAGAAATTGAAACGACACAATAAGATAATCTTCTTCCGATTCTGTATTCCCGTATGAATTATAGACCTTTTGAAAAAAAGAACAAAATAACTATTTCAGGATAATATTATTTTTGAATATGCCTGATCTAAATGCAAATATATTCGAAGTGACGTTCAACTTTGTTCATATATACACAACCTATAGCACTGGCATGTTTGTACTCCTACAGAAAACCAGGAACTGTTATCAAACTGTATGATTGGACTGGGCATGTTGTCAGCTGCTTTATAGCTATTTTTCAGAGACACCATGTATAATCTATTATAGATCTTGAACTTCAAAGACTGTTTCAGTACAAAGATTTTATCAATGTGTCTTTGGAAGTGTGGCCCAAGTTTTCTCCCTAAAATGGCTACATGTTGAGACGGGAAGGGCACCGTTTTGTAAAATGATGCTTGAGTAGCAACAGCAACAATACCACTGATAATGATGATAATCCGCATATCTAAATTTTCGCCAAGGTCAATGGACAGTGTGCAGTCAAATAGCGTTTTCAACTCCCTGGGGAGTATACAACATGTACCCGTCACATTGCAGATACTGGCATCCCCGTCTACCCGAGGACTGTATAGCTAGACACCCTTCTGAGGTATGGCGGTGCTACTTCGGCCATAGGATATACCCGTCATTGAAAAGTAAGCCTGTCCCCTGCCCTTGATTTACCCACCCCGTCTATCGTTACATGTATTGCCAGCAGTTGTCACTTTTTGGTAGGTGTGGTGGAGTGGCCTAATGGTTATAGTGTTCGCTCGTCACGCTGACCTGGGTTCGATTCCCCACATGGGTACAATGTGTGAAGCCCTTTTTTGGTGTCCCCCCGCCGTGATATTGGTGGAATATTGCTAAAAGCGGCGTAAAACTCACTCACTCACTAGTGTGGGGTAAAATACATTTGATCTAATGGTCCGCTACAGCTACCACTAATTGTCATGGTTTACAGAATTGCAGACAAACCTATGTTTTAAATGGGGACGAGGGTGGTTCAGTTCTGTAAGGCGTAGCAGCTAGCCGTGCCGAGTTCTGTCCCTTAGGTGTGCCAGGCCCCAGTAATATTGAACTCGAATCCCAAATACTAGGTTTCGTGGCACTGTACCAGTCCATTTGGCAAACAAACTGCAAACGGGCTCAGATCCTATATCCTATTAACAAGCTGCCGCGTAACTGAAGTAAATTCCAAGCAGTGTAGAACTACTCACTAACTGTGTGGTACACTCGCGCGCCAGGGTATATTTTACTGGTGCTTCTATGGCGTCTTTGTTGAGGTACAACTCATTCGTGACCGACTCGTGTTATTCCGGGACAAGCCGAATAGCGACTCGTGCCCCTCTGGGAGGATTTCATATTGGCGCATGAACATCAGAACTACTTTAAACAGGAACGATAACTCAATTCTTCTTTGATTCCAATGGTACTTAATATCACCGAAGTAATCATACATTGTATTGCTGTTTGTGTTTTGTTAAGAATTAAACCTTTTTGATACAACTAAAAGAAGGGGGAAAAACTTATTTGTTACAGACTTATTCTCACGTAATTATTATCAGATGTTCACGTTATATTTCCAAATATATTTCTAAATAGGATTTGATAATCACCATAGGGATTTGTTTTATTAATTATGTAAATAAAATTTATAAAAGCTACATTAAATCCCAAAGCAGAAACTCAAAAATGACTTTAAAATATTTCTCAAGCTGAACATTCGTGTAACCTTGCTGTCATACCCCAAGTGGAAATTTAAATGAATTCGCTGATAATATATGAATGACCAAAAAAAATGTCAGACTAAAATGTTCCCAGAGATGTGAAATATAGAATCTATGCCCAATGTTAAAGATTAAAGTTGATCAGTTACATGCAGATATATGTTTTATATTATTGTTTTGAAACTCGAAGGGATTAATAATTACATTTCCCAAAATGTTGGAAGCGCACGTACAATCTCCATAGCAAGCCCGCAAGATCGTCAGAAATACCCTCAGTTGGACCAATGAGAGCCGTTTTGTCAACACACGCACGTGCGTGTATTTGAATCTCTCACCGTCAATCGCATGATTCTTATCAAAAACTTTCATAATAGGCAGCAAAATCCTGTTAGCTCAGTTCTTTGTACTTTCAATATGACGGTATATATTTTTGCCTGATTATTTAAACAATGACATAATGCCATAAACGATTTAAGTACACAGGATTATTTTTACCAGAGCACCGCGTTCTGATTGGTTTGTCGTATTTTCGCACATAACAAGCATCGAGAGGGGAGCGAGTCTGCTTGGAGGTTACGGAAAGAGGCGAGTGGTGACGAATGAGGTACAACTGTGTGGAAAGTGGCCGATTGTGTTTCTTGTTTAGCGCACTCACCAATATCCCAGCTATATGGTGGTGGTCTGAATCTGGACCAGTCAATCTAGTGATTAATATGAGCATCGATCAACCCAGTTGAGATACAATGACATGTATCCACCAAGTCAGCGAGTCTGACCACCCGATCCCGTTAGTCGCCTCGTACAACAAGCATGGGTTACTGAAGACCGACTAGTCTTGTAGTGCTAGCCCACTTATATACCAAGCCTCAGTTGATCATGGGTACCATACTCAGACTGACCGTCCGATCCCGTTAGTCGCCTCGTACAACAAGCATGGGTTACTGGAGACCGACTAGTCTTGTAGTGCTAGCCCACTTATATACCAAGCCTCAGTTGATCATGGGTACCATACTCAGACTGACCACCCGATCCCGTTAGTCGCCTCGTACAACAAGCATGGGTTACTGAAGACCGACTAGTCTTGTAGTGCTAGCCCTTTTATATACCAAGCCTCAGTTGATCATGGGTACCATACTCAGACTGACCACCCGATCCCGTTAGTCGCCTCGTACAACAAGCATGGGTTACTGGAGACCGACTAGTCTTGTAGTGCTAGCCCACTTATATACCAAGCCTCAGTTGATCATGGGTACCATACTCAGACTGACCACCCGATCCCGTTAGTCGCCTCGTACAACAAGCATGGGTTACTGAAGACCGACTAGTCTTGTAGTGCTAGCCCACTTATATACCAAGCCTCAGTTGATCATAGGTACCATACTCAGACTGACCACCCGATCCCGTTAGTCGCCTCGTACAACAAGCATGGGTTACTGAAGACCGACTAGTCTTGTAGTGCTAGCCCACTTATATAAGACCGACTATTCTTGTAGTGCTAGCCCACTAATATACCAAGCCTCAGTTGATCATGGGTACCATACTCAGACTGACCACCCGATCCCGTTAGTCGCCTCGTACAACAAGCATGGGTTACTGAAGACCGACTAGTCTTGTAGTGCTAGCCCACTTATATACCAAGCCTCAGTTGATCATGGGTACCATACTCAGACTGACCACCCGATCCCGTTAGTCGCCTCGTACAACAAGCATGGGTTACTGGAGACCGACTAGTCTTGTAGTGCTAGCCCACTTATATACCAAGCCTCAGTTGATCATGGGTACCATCCTCAGACATTGTCACAGGGCTTGTAACTCAAATATAAACTGTCATCATGGTAAATATACTGAACATCATTGAAAACGCACCAGTCTAAAATTGTCCATATTTTCATCAAGATGGATTTCAGCATGACAATGATCAATGAATATAACTAACATGAAGTCGAAGGGCATGTCCAGTTGAAAAAATGCTTTAGAAACAAATTCCTATCCACAGTATGACTCTTAATTCCAAAATGCATCAACAAGCAGCCCCGCCATGAAAAAGCGCGAATTTCATTCTGAAATCATACTGACTGTGACATTAAAAGCAGGTGTACGAGAAACGATTCTCATTCCTTCACTATCGATTGTGAAACGAGGACAGAGATGCCGAGGTTAACACCTCACGAAAGAGAACGTGCACTAGGCATGATTCAGGTTTGCACCAGCAGCAGGGATATTGCTCGACAACCTGGACTTGGCCACTCCACCATCGTTAGGCTTCATAGACGACATCAGTAGGCAGGCAGTACCCGTGACCTTCAATGACCTTGGCAACAACGTGTTACGACGCTCCATCAGGATCGCCATATTGACCTTTTCCATATCAGTGATTGAACACTGCCGACTGCCAGGACTGCTGCACTAGTTCCAGGTTGACGTGGGGGTCATCAGCGCTGACTCCATGCGACGCGGTTTACACGCTACAGGGCTCCATGCTCGACGTCCTTACGTTGAACCAATTCTGACTGACAGACACCGTAATGAGCGTATACAATGGGCTAGCAGGCATTTTCAGACAAGGTTACAACAGTGGCATGGTGTGGTAGTCACTGACGAGTCACGTCTTCATCTACGTTTTGCTGACGTCCGATTACGTGTTTGGCGTAGACGTGGTGAACGTTATGCTGATGAGTGTGTGGTTCAGACAGACCTTTGGGAGGTGGGAGTGTCATGGTCTGGGGTGGAATAAATTACAATCACAGGACTGCCTTCATGTCTGTCAAGAGAGAGTTAATGCCCTTTATTACCGCGGGCAGATTCTTCAGAATCACATCGTATCTGTCTTCAACCACCACCAAGATGTCCATACTTTTCAACAGGACAACGCACGGGCACACACAACAAGACTTTCCATTCAGTATCTGGCCCAGCAACACATCCAGGTTATTCACTGGCCAGCACAGTCGCCAGATGTATCCCCCATGGAGCACTTTTGGGACGAAATTGGTCAAAGTCTTTCGCAGCAACAACAGATGCGAAACATCCGGGAACTTGAGGCTGCACTACTGCAGAAGTGGAATGCCATCCTCAAGAACTCTATTCAGACGCTTCTTGACTCAATGAGGAGACCCCACGTGTGTTTGGTCCTTTCTGACTGTGACCCGTGAAGATCCGGGGTAGAATAGGTCTTCAGCAACCCATGTGCTTGCCATAAAAAGGCGACTATCTTGTCGTAAGAGGCGACTAACGGGATCGGGTGGTCAGTTTCGCTGACTTGGTTGACACATGTCATCGGTTCCCAATTGCGCAGATCGATGCTCATGCTGTTTATCACTGGATTGTCTGGTCCAGACTCGATTATTTACAGACCGCCGCCATATAGCTGGAATATTGCTGAGTGCGGCGGAAAACTAAACTCACTCACTCACTCACTCACCTTTCTGACTGTGGAACATTTCAATGAATGAGCGTCTTTTCTGTGTTGTTGTTTTTGTCAGTCGTCCATCTGTTATTATCCACTCAAAAAATATCAATTCCTGACAGGTGCTTTTAATAATCTGAACTTTTATAGGTGGTGCGTTTTCAATGATGTTCAGTATATTATCACTGACGGGGTCATAGCGTTATATACAAGGAGTTGTATAGGGGTATATACAGTGAGCATTGTTGAATTCGTCCTGAAACGAACTCGTTACCCCCTTTTCCTATATACAGCGCTAAGGGTTAAAGACCCTGTCAGTGATAACATTTACCTTTGTACTGGTTTGTTTGTTTGCGTTACAAGCCCCTGTGGACACAATATATACTCATGCCAATAATGGTTGTCAACCCGTTCAATTTTTTTGGAGAGGGATGCGGGGTGGGGTGTGTTAAAAAGGGGTGACAACCATGTTGGCATGAGTATATATACTGACTTCAAACCGATAAAATCTTGCTTTGTGAGTCCAAAACGTCTGTCGCTTCAGAGTCTTTATTATATAGTTATTAAATAATTCAGAAAAACTTAAAACCTAGATTAAATAGTCATGAAATAATTTTTAAAAAACTTATGAACTCCATAGATTAAATAGTCATGCATCCGGCTCTGAACTTATCAGTCGTGTTGCAACTGTGTTGCAAACAAACAAAACTATTTCTGTGATACAGCAAGAAAAACGTGCATGAAATGTAAGTGTATTTCTTCCCTAACAAGGCTGTATATGTTGTTAACGTCGTTCCGCATCTCTCCAACAGCGCCAGTTTTCATCATCCAGAACCTGTACGACGCGGCCCAGATCAAGGTGGATAATGTATTCGAGGACAAAGGTCGGGGGTCAGATCTGTCCAATGACCAATGGATGTATCTGTTACAACTGGGCGAGGAAATCAAGGAAACGCTCATGAATGCATCGTACGTATACCGAATACACAAGCAGGGCAACCAGTCTTCAAAAGAAGACTTTTGAAAAATGGAGGAATAATGGTGGCATGGCCAGTGAAAGTGTGATCCGATTTCTGTTGTCACCTCGTAGTAAATACATCACGATATCTAGTCTCTACTGGGACTGTAACCAGGTGATCAAACCACGTGATCGCTAGCAAAATGGTTGTTCATTGAATCGGACACTTGGCATTGCCCTTAATGTTAGTGATACTTGTTATCTCCAGAATGATTAGTTTTCTCTTGTTAGAATTAACACACGTGCAGCTATATTAATTAATTAGTTTTGATGAGGACTTTGGTGCTTATTCAGTGCAAAAGCGCGTGTGTAGAGATTCTACCAAGTGTTTATTTCACGGTGATTCGGGGTAAGAAATGGTCCCAGGAACATATTGTGTGATCGGACCCGATGGCTTGGTCACTGGAACGCTGTTCATAATATCAATCACTGGTTTACTTCGTCCAAGTACAGGGCGGTGGGGTAGCCTAGTTGTTAAAGCGTTCGCTCGTCACGCCTAAGACCCGGGTTCGATACCACATGTGTACAAAGTGTGAAGCCCAGTTCTGGTGTCCCCGCTTTGATATCGCTGGAATATTGCTAAAAGCGGCGTAAAACCATACTCACTCACTCGTCCATGTACGTACTTTTTTTTTGAATACTGCCATTGAGAAGTCAATCACCAATCACACAAGCAAGTGTATATATTTCATTCATGTTAGTAAATAAAATATCTTTTGACACAAATCGTCATATTAGTAAGTGTTCTTAACGTTGTCCGTCTCGCCATTGTTTCAGTGCCGTCTTTGCCCCAGCGTGTGTCTCGCACGATGTCCTCACGAAGAGGTAGGTTAAAATCATTCGTCACCACTCGCCCCTTTCCGTAACCCCCAAGAAGACACGAGTCGCCAATCGGCTTGTCCGGAATAACACGAGTTGGTCACGAATGGGTAAAAATGTGTCCTGAGTGAATGCCCCGGAGGAATAACAATCACACACGCACACACACACCCTTTCACACTCATACACACAGAGAGAGTACCCCTTCTAATTATTTCTTCCGGGTAGACCCAACATCTGCTCCAGTAAACAACGGATCAGCAAATAATCCAGTTTCACTTTGGTGCCATGTTCGACCAATTGATGAAATTATTCTTTAAACAAGTGTACACATTTGAGGCAAAAGATACGACGACGTTGTGTTAGGAAAACACAAAATATCATCAGTAAAATATAAACCTGGCCACAGTCTCTGAGTATTCTAAATATGTCTTGATCTGGAGACCCGTGAATATCTGGGCCCCGTTCCTCAAAGCGATCGTAGCGCTACGACAGTCGTAAGTCTATGTTAAAGTATGGGAGTTACGATCATCTTAGCGCTACGACAGTCGTAAGTCTATGTTAAGGTATGGGAGTTACGTCATCTTAGCGCTACGACAGTCGTAAGTCTATGTTAAGGTATGGGAGTTACGTCATCTTAGTCGTAAAGTGTGGGGAGTTACGATCATCTTAGCGCTACGACTGTCGTAAGTCTATATGATCGATCATCTTAGCGCTACGACTGTCGTAAGTCTATGTTAAAGTGTGGGAGTTACGATCATCTTAGCGCTACGACTGTCGTAAGTCTATGTTAAAGTGTGGGAGTTACGATCATCTTAGCGCTACGACTGTCGTAAGTCTATGTTAAAGTATGGGAGTTACTATCATCTTAGCGCTACGACTGTCGTAAGTCTATGTTAAAGTGTGGGAGTTACGATCATCTTAGCGCTACGACTGTCGTAAGTCTATGTTAAAGTGTGGGAGTTACGATCATCTTAGCGCTACGACTGTCGTAAGTCTATGTTAAAGTATGGGAGTTACGATCATCTAAGCGCTACGACTGTCGTAAGTCTATGTTAAAGTATGGGAGTTACGATCATCTTAGCGCTACGATCGCTTTGTGGAACGGGGCCCAGGGTTAGAATTGGTCTTCAGCAACCCACGCTTGTCGTAAAAGGCGACTAACGGGATCAGGTGGTCAGGCTAACTGACTTACTTGACACATGTCATCGCATCCCATTTGCGTACATCGATTCTAATGCTGTTGATCACTGGATTGTCTGGTCCAGACTCGATTATTAACGGACCGCCGCCATATAGCTGGAATATTGCTGAGTGCGGCGTAAAACAACAACAATCCAACCAACTTGATCTGGGACACGGAAGTGGTAACATTGTTGAGATTCCTGTGTGACAGTTGACATCTCTTCACAGTGTGGGGTAGCCTAGTGGTTATAGTGTTCGCTGGACTAGAGGTACGCCCGGGTTCGATTCCACACATGGATACAATGTGTTAAGTCCATTTCTGATGTTCCCCGCCACGACATTGCTGGAATATTGCGGCCTAAAATATAAACTCACTCACTCTCTTCACAGTGAGTGGCACAAGACCAGCATAGCAGGGGTGACGTTGGCACAGTCTATATTCTGCTGGGAAGAGAGCAACGCCGGCAAGCGACAGTGTGGAAAATCTACCTCAAATAAAAGAAAGTAAGTGAAGAATTTGAAATGGGTAAAAATGGGTACTTTTCAAGTACAACCTTATGTTTGGAATCACTGTCCGTTTCAGTGAACGGGAAACGTTTCCTCAGGGAGCGTTTTTTTTCAGATTGGAGTAACTCTATAAATAGAAAGATATCGACGGTCTTACATTGTACCAGGAATACTGTTTTGAAAGAGAGAAGTCAAAATTGCATTACACTTCGGTGAATGATAAGCACTTAATTTATGACCGTTCATAATTTATGTGTAGGGGTGATGATGATTTTTTAAGGGGGTCACCCATGTTCTTGGGAGCTAGGTAGTGTCATCAATTTTATACACACATACTAGGGGGTCATCAATTTTGTACATAAAATATATTATTTAAAAAATTATGCTAAGAACAGATGGTAAATTTTAGGGTAAACATAGTACAAGCTTTGGTACATCACATGACCCACCCCCACCACCACTTATTCCCTCAGCAGGGTTGTACATTTTTAAATATAATCCTTCAAGCTCGATTATCCAAAACAAATAAGGTAAAAAGCAAAATAGCGGTGAAAATGTAGGATTCTATTTGTTGGTGTAAGTCCCAAAAACTTTCAAAGTAAAATTTTCCCGTACCAAGTTTTTAAACGTAGTATTTTTGTTCTTTTAAATTTCGGCTGAAGGGATGGTGTAAATCCAGCTAGGGTCCATGCATGTAGCAAAAGTAATGTAAGTCCCCATGGCTCCTAGTATGGTGATCTACCTTCAGTTGTTGGCGACCTATAGCCAGTGTTTTATACTGTATTGTCTTCTTTAATTGGAATGTTTTAGCTTTGTTCGCTAGTTTTATATTATATCTGGGAGTATCTACTATTTTTACTGTCCATCGTCGACAGGTTTTAATCTTCAACATATTTTCACTTTTATTGTATGAATTGTTTTCGTCACGATATGGCTGAGATATTGCCGATGTTAAATATTAACTCACTCACTCACTCACTATTTGTTGGCCGGCGGAATTCGTTACTAATATATTTACATTGTTTTGTCAGAATCAGCCTGTTAGGAGTCAATGAAACCCCTCTTGCTGACGAGCCTCCATCTGGGTCAGTCTATCAGAGACGTCGACAGAAGAACCGGAAGAAGAGGAGGCGAAACAAGAGGAAGAGGAGGAAGAACAGAGGTATGTGGGCTACCTGTCTGCGCCTAGAGTGAGTGAGTGAGTTTAGCTCTGCAATATTCCAGCTATATGGCGGCGGTCTGTAATTAATTCGAGTCTGGACCAGACAATCCAATGATCAACAGCATGAGCATCGATCTGCACAATTGGAAACCGATGACATGTGTCAACCAAGTCAGCGAGCCTGACAACCCGATCCCGTTAGTCGCCTCTTAAGACAAGCATAGTCGCCTTTTGTGGCAAGCATGGGTTGCTGAAGACCTATTCTACCCCGGATCTTCACGGGTCACTCTGCACGTAGAATGGTAAACAAGTATTAGTGAATTTGAATCTACTTAGAATCTGGGATTCGAACCCACGTTCGAACACACTGGTTTCCGTACTCCTAAGTGATGCAACTCTGCACAGCGACTTGCGGTAGCTTAAACAACTGTACCAACCTGCCGCCAAAGATTGCCCAGTGTCTTATGCTGTAATATATTGCGTAAGTGACTGTGTACCTGGGTAGCCATAGTAATTTTTGACAGCAAATGAAAATGTATATATTTGTATCCCCATATTGAGATTTTTATGGACTGGAACGAAACCCTCTTAGACAGCTATCTGGAAGCAATCGTTGCTTCTGAAGTGAGTAAGTTTAGTTTTACGCCGCTTTTAGCAATATTCCAGCAATATCACGGCGGGGGACACCAGAAATGGGCTTCACACATTGTACCCATGTGGTGAATCGAACCCGGGTCTTCGGTGTGACGAACGAACGCTTTAACCACAAGGCCACCCCACCGCTCCTTCCTTATAAAAAACGAAGCTGATCAAAGCGGCCCTAGCTTTCCATTCCCCATAACATATATGTATCCTTTTTCTCACCAGGTCGCAATGGAAACAGAGACAAAAGAGCCGCCAAGAGTAACTGCAAGTCCCATCTGATCGACAGTTGTCCATGGCCCCACTGTAACTGTTCATGTCCCAAGTGCCCGTGGGCCACGATGGCTGAGGTGAGCCAGTACTTCATGAAGTCTCTGGCTGGCGTCATGGGGATCGACCCCAAGAAGATGCAGAACGTCAATTTGTGCGGATACTGAACCGTTCATCTGAGGTTCCAAACTCAGGCTTCTTGCTTTGACAATATGTCGTGCGGAAAGTAGCACACCACATATACCTCCATATCTCGCGATATTTAGCGAGACCCAGACCGGTCCAAGAGCCTTGCTTTGGAGCACGACGCTATTAAGGCGATAGTTTCTGGAAATGAAAGACTCCTTTAGCCCTATACATGTTGGCACGGACTACGATATTTCGAATGTGTCGTTAATGGTTTATATCAGAACGTGTGGCACTGTGAAAAATAGTTGCAATAATCTGAGGGCAGCATTGAACGTGGAGCCAAGGGTTTTGTTATGAGAAGAATATATTGCCATATTGATGATGAGTTGCAATGCAATCACAATCTCATTAAAATCAAATCTTTTATTCTGATACCAAACCACTCTCTGTAAAGATGTTTTGGCAAAACCAGCGAAAGTATATATACCACCCACAGTATCAACCGTTCCTGAGCCATCTGCACTACACGGCTTTATTTGTTTGCATTCGGGTTTCCTCGACTAGATTCGTATTAACATTCAGGGCCCAGATTTTCGAAGCTCTCTTAGCGCTAAGATAGTCGTAAGTGCCATACATTAACATTAATTTTCGACTATATTAGCGCTAAGAGAGCTTCGAAAATCTGGGCCCTGGTTCCCTCGACAAGAGTCGTTTTGGAGATCCACATAAATCAGATAACATTTACTGAATGCATTGAACGTGTGCACGTATCACTCAATCGTACTGAAAATAAATACCAGTCAGACAAAACATTTCTCAGGCAAGACTTTAATGAGATCTTTATGTTGAGTGATTCCGCGTCGGACTAAAAGATCTGATTTTAATGAGATTGAATGAAACCTGTAATTCTCTTTGTATATAATGTCACGTGACATGGCATTCATGTTGATTGGATATTGTGGTATCGTGACGTCACTCCGATTTTGAGTGTTGATTTGCTGGCTGCAGTGACGTCTTTTGTTGTGTTCTGTTCTCATGCGCGTTCATTCACATATAACAAACTCCGATCTACCTCCTGGGTATCAGAATGTTCACTATAGGCTTCAAGTTCTGCTATTGTTCGTACTGCGGTTCATGTTTTATGTGTTCTATTTTCAAAAAGCTACATTCGATACCTTATTCAGAGTAGGTTCAAATTAAAATTGGAATAATCAAATTAGTTACCACTTGTTTAAAAGTTTGACTTCGATGATCTGTCAAGATATTTAACGAAATGAACAGGCTATGATGTGTTATTTTTACGAATCTGTTAATTTGTTTTGATAATAATAAACTATAAAATCGAAGATCTTTAAACGAAGTAGACAAGGTGGTGAAATCACACCCTATGTTTTCCAAATTACGTAATCTGAAGATTTCGGAATGGAAAATGAGCGAAAGTACAGGTCAAATTATAATACCCTGTATATTTTATTCTCTTCAAAATGGTCGAGAGGTTTGAACATAAATTCTCAACAAATTTTGATTATTAATTTTGTTTAAATTATTGTGTTTATATTGACAGAGACTCTAAATGAGTTGCGTTTGTTAATATGTTGTTTGTTTTTTGTTGGCCGCATAAAAAGGCATTTATTTTTATTTTTTATTTCATTATATTTTTTGTGCGTCAGCGGATTCGTAAACCTAGGTAACGGTTAAGTGGAAGTACGTTTATGTCGAGTGAGATGTATGAACACATTGAAGAAGGGTATCAGTCCGAAGCCTTTCCGAGAACCTTACGTCAATCATGAAAACCCGAGAACTGTAATCCAGTTCGATAGTGTGTCTCTATATACTGATGGACACAAGTAAGAGAACGCATATAAACGTAAGCATTTGCCTGTGACACCATATATGTAACAAGAATTCGCCTGGCAATGCAATCAAGTAGTTCTAATGGTTTACTCACGGGCTGGTTGTGACGTCATGAATGTCGTCATATCCTGTTGTTAACAATGCATACATATTGTGACGTATTAGTGCTTAAACTGACCAATCACCTTTGAGAATGTGAAATACACGTGTTGCATTAAAGGAAAAAAGATTAAACAAGAGGGTTTTCCCTTCCTTACAATAGTAAAAATAAACTGACGTTCAAAAGAAAGTACACACTGATTCTTTGGTAAAATATGTTCTTAAAAACAGCATTAATATTTAAAAAGTGTTTTGATTCTGCCTTATCACGAACATTGTGCAAGGGTTTCCAAAACACCACAGATATCGTAACCAAATGTCGTACCCAATTACAACATTGCTAGCAAAATATTTATGGGGGTTTTCTTTGGGAAATATTCCTAAAACACCAGGTGTGAACTTTGTTATGTCCGTCAGTATATATGGCTAGCATTGGACAACTTAACACTCTAAATTCACAGGCTTTCCGAAATGCTTCCAAACCGTTGACTAAATGCTGTTGTAGTGTACAGTGGTAAGACAATCCGTATTTGTGACTGTGTTTCTCATGTCCTTTACGATCTTAAATTGTCGTTCTGCTAAAGTTAGTTATAAATATCCAGTCAATACGTCCTGTAACGAATTTCTTGCGTCGAAACAAAATGCGCGTGAGGATATACGAAGAAGGGAGGTAACTCTGACCTTTTCGGATCTATTTCAAGATCTTTACACTGATCCAAAACACTAGATGTGCTCCGAATATAGCTCAAAGGCGATCTAACGGAACCATTTTTGCACAAAATTCATTAACAGTAGCCAACTTATTTGTTGTCTTCACAACCAGATATGGGTTCATTTATAGTCAAGATTTGACATTCTTCCGCCCACTCAATCACTCAGGAGCTGACCTGGAGATGATGAAAACTGGGAATAATACGAATATAAATGTTGATACAGAGAACTTCATGTGAACAGTCTGAAAAATACATTATTGTGCTATCGTCGTTTTCAAAAATATGAAATACCTTGGGGGATTTGGAATTTCATTTCGGAAAAAAATCCGATGTGTAAAACAAAAGCACCATTTGGTCCGTCTTTTGTATGATTTTCGTCAAGGCATCGCCCTTTTCATCCATACATCAAGTATGTACAAGGATGCAACACTTCCCTAAGATATACTGCTCAAAAGAAGTTGAGGACCACCCGGAAACAGTAGCCATGGTATGACAGGTGACTGTAGAAGTGTGAAGGAATCGGCAGGCATCTTTCGAGTAGTGTTCCATCTGTTCAGGAAACGATACCCAGGTTGTGCTGTATAATGCCTATTGTCCAATGTTCATGGTAACCATGGCAACACGATGTCACGTGGGCAGGAGGCCCTGTATTTTTCACGTTACGGGTATCGAGATTTACCACGAGTTGTATTACATGTTTGTTGAGATGTCAGTATTGGATTTGTAGCGCTTGTATGAGTCTCTGCAGTTAAGCTCTGTTACCATGGTGATCTTGACAATTTGGCACCGTCATTTTGTTTGGTTTGTCATTCTAAAAATTGCATGATTTTTTATATTGTGAAAAAGTATAGACCTATTTGATATGACATCCTATCGTTTTTAAAGAGTATTTAGCACGATACATTTACTGGAATCATTTGAAATAGTTATCACATGGTCCATAAACTTGCTTGCAGAGAATTGCAACATAAATTAGTTTCTCATCCACGGGCGCTGCCGTGCATCTTCAACACACTGCCTTTTGTTTGTCTTGTGGAGGAGCGACTTCTCGGAGTGTGCGAGAAAGTGCGTGATTTGCCCCGATATTTGGAGGGCATATTTTCTATTTTCGTGATATGTGTTTCGAGTTTGTGTACGTGCATATTATTGCATTATATTTCAGTACATAAAGTCTGAGCTGTGAATAGTTTTTGTAAGCAAAGTGCTATTTTAATCATTTGACACTAACCATATGTAAGGTTATTGATAACACAGACCTGTTGATACAGTACCAAAGACGTATAAAACTGCGCGAGAATGTTTGCCTTGTATTTTTTTAATGAATAATCGACTTTGGTTGAAAGTCCTTATTTGCGAATAGCCAAGCCACAGCATGATGGGAGCTACCAAATTCGATCAACACATTATTGGGAATCGAACCTGGGTTTCATGGTGACGAGTCATTAACAACAGAGCTACCCATTCTTCACTTGATCGTCATGGCAACTCGATGTAGAATCAAACTTGGTCGCTGTATGGGAAGGCGACACGATGCCTATTGTGCTAATGTACCTGGAACTCCAGCGCAGAGCCGGACCCGTGAAGATCCGGGTTACAATAGGTCTTCATCAACCCATGCTTGTCGTAAGAAGCGACTAACGGGATCGGGTGGTCAGGTTCGCTGACTTGGTTGACACATATCATATCCCAATTGCGTAGATCGATGCTCATGGTGTCAATCACTGGATTGTCTGGTCGAGACTAGGTTATTTACAGACCGCCGCCATGTAGCTGGAATATTGCGGCGTTAAACAACAAACGTACCAACCGTTTTGGAATGTTCACGCTAACACCAGCAGTCAGTGCGTACTTCATAAGCAATATTTACATAATTCAAGACCTATGAATAAGGTCCGGGTTAGAATGAACCTTCAGTAACCCATGCTTGTCGTAAGAGGCGACTAACGGGATCGGGTGGTCAGGCTCGCTGTCTTGGTTGACACATGTCATCGGTTCCCAATTGCGTAGATCGATATTCATGTTGATGAACACTGGATTGTCTGGTCCAGACTCGATTATTTACAGACCGCCGCCATATAGCTGGAATATTGCTGAGTGCGGCGTAAAACTAAACACCCTCACACAAGACCCCACTTTTCAATGTGTAAGTATCATTGTAGTTATTATGACGCTGATAACAGAATCAGTGAGTACTCGAATGTTATTCAAGGTCCCAGTGGAGAAAGGCACGATGCCATATGAGTGAGTTTAGTTTTACGCCGCTTTTAGCATTATTGAGCGATATCACGGCGGGGGACACCAGAAATGGTCTTCACACATTGTACCCGTGTGGGGAATCGAACCCGGGCCTTCGACGTGACGAGCGCCCGACCCCTAGCTAATCTGAGAACAAGCGAGTGTAACTGACCAAAGAAATTAGGGTCCTATCCCTGGTCATTTTATCCTACCACGCATAAGGGACGCAACACTTCGACTCACTGGTTATATATACCGAACACTGATGTAGTCATCTAACAGTAAATATATCATTATGGTTTATGAATTATGTATAGACTTTTTTTCTTCTGCACAAACAACTCCTTAAATCTATACAGCCAGGCCACCTGTTGTGCCATGGAATTAAATCCTCTTCAGGTCGTGCTTCGTAATACTATCAGTGGGTAGCTTTGTTTATGAGATGATGTAAATAAAAATTCCTTTCAAAATCATAAGGGGCGGTGGGGTAGCCTAATGGTTAAAGCGTCCGCTCGTTACGCCAAAGACTTGGGTTCGATTTCCCACATGGGTACAATGTGTGAAGCCCATTTCTGGAATCCCACGCCGTTATATTGGGGGAATATTGCTAAAAGCGGCGTCAAACCATTCTCACTGACCCATTCACTCACTCACTCCAAATCAGAAATATTCAACACTTCCGACTATACATAAGCATGTGAATCCCTATCAAATAGTGATAATACTACGTGTTCACATAAAATAGACGATTAAAATGAGGATCGGGTGTGTATTTACCATTACCAAATGGGTAGTTCCATGTTCTTATTATCAAGGGGGCGGTGGGGTAGCCTAGTGGTTAAAGCGTTTGCTCGTCATGTCACTCACTCACCCACCCACCCACCCACCCACCCACTCACCCACCCACCCACTCCACTCACTCACTCACCCACCCACTCCTCACTCCTCACCACTCACTCACTCACTTACATTATCAACCACGGGCTTACAAGTAATGTGACTGAACTATCGCTGGCTGCGAAAAGTCTTCACACACCACAATGTGATACACATTGTAAATCAAATATCACGAACACGCCAGATAATATATGAGGATTGTAATTATTAATATTATAGAATTTCGTGATCATATGTCGCATTACAGCACAGCTGTTGCGGGTTGTGTATTCACAACTAGCTTTAAAACGATCGATTCTGCAGTCTTCGTATAGATGTACTGAATAACCTGGCCCTGTAACAGTTTCAGGCAGCATGCATTACCTTCAAATTCGTTTATAATTTGATACACTGTATTTTATCGGTTAAACACCCGGGGTATATTTCTTGCAGACACTCTTTGTCTATGTCGTTTATTCACGAAGAAAATAATGTTGAAATTTAATACATACAGTTTACCCAGCTTTAAATCGAGCTCCAACGTATAAACGATAAAATACGGTCGCCTGAATTCATGAATAAACCCGTTTTGTTTTATTCCTATGGAGCTCATACCCTAACTTCTTTGGGTGAGTGAGTGAGTTTAGTTTTACGACGCACTCAGCAATATTCCAGCTATATGGCGGCGGTCTGTAAATAACTGAGTCTGGACCAGACAATCCACTGATCAACAGCATGAGCATCGATCTGCGCAATTGGGAACCGATGACATGTGTCAACCAAGGCAGCGAGCCTGACCACCCGATCCTGTTGGTCGCCTCTTATAACAAGCATAGTCGCCTTTTGTGGCAAGCATGGGTTGCTGAAGACCTATTCATCTCCGGATCTTCACGTGTCTAACCTCTTTGGAGGCAGGAGGTGATTCCTTTCAGAGAGGTTTTCATAGGCGGGTCATACCCGTGAAGATCTGGGTTAAAATATTGATCTTCAGTAACCCATGCTTGTCGTTAGAGGCGGCTAACGGGGATCGGGTGGTCAGGCTCGCTGACTTGGTTGACACATGTCATCGGTTCACCATTGCGCAGATCGATGCTCATGCTGTTGGTCACTGAATTGTCTGGTCGAGACTCGATTAAATGCAGACCGCCGCCATATAACTGGAATATTGCTGAGGGCGGCGTAAAACTAAGAATGGTCTGAAGAACGCGTTCATTACAAACACATCCCCGAACCATTACACACTGGCGACGGGATTGTGGCCAATACGATGTACGATCCAAAACTGAAAGAAGTTTTCACCCTGGCAAATAGAGCCGATCAGACCAGTGCTAAATGGTTTGATGACGGCGGTGAACCTGTGTGGGTGACTAACCAGCTTCAGGACTCTCACCACAGAACCGGTATAGTCATGTGGCCGGGGGGAGGTGCTCCTGTCAAAGGTGTCCAAGCTACGAGGAACATATTGTTTGACCGATCTGTTAAAAATGAAACAAGAATAGATACCATTTTAGATTGGTTCACATCATCCTATCCTATCAATCTCGGTCTTCTTTATTTTGAGCAGCCAGACGAGTTTGGTCACCAATTTGGACCCGATTCCGTCCAGGTGACAAGAATGATCGGCGGTTTGGACAATGTAGTCGGTTATCTGTTGAAGAGCATGAAGGAGAAGGGCTTGTTGGAAAATACAAACATTATCATAACAAGCGATCATGGATTTTCAAGCACTCCACCTGAAAATGTTATAAATTTGGATAAATACATTGATCCATTGTCATACAAAAATATTTGCAAGTAGTCCAGTTGGAAATATTTTGCCCAATGAAGGTGAGTTTGTAATGATGGAGGGTGGTTGTCTGCACAGGTACTACAGATATGTACCGCAGGTATACAGAAATGTACCCTAAACAAAGTCAAAATACAGAAACGTACCAGGTACAGAAACGTACCCTATATGGGGACTTGTCCATATTCAGCAACCCTAAAACGAAACCATATGTAGTTGTTCCTGTTCAACTGATTGCAACTGGTATATTGTGCATTGCGAAATATTCATTACTTTGTATGCTCGTGGGCGGTGGGGTAGCCTAGTGTTTCGCGTTGGCTCGCCACGCTTGAAGACCCGGTTCAATCCCCACATGGGTACAATGTGTGAAGCCAATTTCTGGTGTTCCCCGCCGTGATGTAGCTGGAATATTGCTAAAAGCGCGTAAAAACCAAACTCCTTCAGTCAGTCAGTTGTATGCTCGCTTCTTATAAAATGTAATCAAATGCATCTAATAGAACTGTTTGACAGACAATGCGAAATAGACTCATCCAATGGTACTTTTCTGTATTCTGACTTTGGCTACGGTTCGTTTCTATATACAGAAACGTACCTGGGGTACACATCTGTAGTACCTGTGCTGACAAAGACCCTTGCAGTGTTGGTAACATACTAACAGCAGACCTGTGTCATTTAGATCCAGTTTCATGGCTCAGTTTACAAATGAATTTAAGGAACTAGGTGTGATGAACAATGGGGAGAGTTCCATCATGATGTTGCTGGAATATTGCTAAAAGCAGCGTAAAACTATACTCACTCACTCTGGCTTTCTTATCAAATCAAGGTCACACGATGTGATAGAACTGCAAGTGGAATACTGTTCAAAGGGGCGTAAAACCTGAATTTCTCACTGTAATGATACTGACTACATAAACTGGTGTTTTGTAATGCTGGAATGCTTCTGCTTACAGGTCTGCTTGAAGAGCTGTATGCAAATCTGACGGCAGGATCCAAAGCTGAAGGACACTTCACAGTTTACAAGAAAGAGGACATACCAGCCCGATACCACTACAGGCACAATGACAGGATTTTGCCGCTCCTTGTTGTGACGGATGTCAGTTACCAACTTACTAGAAATAAGCAAGTCGTAGATGATTGTAGGTGGTTGAGTAATCTGCTTGTTCAAACACCTGTTAAGGTTAAACTTTAATAGTTCAGGGCCTCATTGATCAAACCTATTTTACACAAAGGTGATCACAACACCCATACTTGAACATAGGCTTATGGTTATCGTAGCAGTGAGTTCCTGTTTAGAAGGGGCGCTGGGGTAGTCTAATGGTCAAAGCGTTAGCTCGTCACTTTGAAGACCCTGGTTTAATTCCTAATATGTGTGAAGCCCATTTCCTGGTGTCCACCGCTGTTTAA